AGCAAAAGGGAAAAGAAAACAAAAAAGTTACGAAGAGTGCTTCCCAAGACAAAGCCGAGACATTGTCGTAGACCTGAAGCTCAGAGCTCCCCAGAGCTTTCATGCGCCTGGAGCAAGTGCGCACAGCCCCAGTGTTTCGTCCCCTTTCCAAATACGAGGGACAGCTGCTAAGGAAGTGGGGAACACTTCTTTTTGAGTTACTTGGTGGGGATTCTCCCGGTTGATTTGGCATTGATGATAGCTGTGGTCTGTGAGCCAGGAATCCAACAGAAGCTGAGAAATGGGAAGGGGTGACTAGACAGCCAGAACCATTAGCACTCCTCATTTGTTTCTTTGATTTTTTTGTTTTTGTTTTTTGTCTTTTTTTTTTTCCATTGTTTTATTTATTTGTGGGGGGGGGGCAGCTCAGCCCACCAGGGGGCGGGGCGGGCTGGCATGTGGTGCTGGGGGATTGAACCGCGGTCCCTGTGCTTTGCTAAATTTGTTCTAAGTAGGTGCTCTAGACCACTGAGCCATCTCACCAGCCCCTGTTTTTTGTCTTTTTGAGACAGGTCTCGCTATGCAGCTCAAACTGGCCCTGAGCTCACTTTGTAGCCCAGGCTGGTCTCCAACTCACAATGATCATCCTACTTTAGCCTCCCAAGTGTTGGGATTACAGGTGTGAGCCACCACACCCGGTGGTTGGTTGTTTTTTTGAGACAAGTTCTTGTTACATAACCCAGGCTGGCATCCAACTTTCAGTGATCCTCCTTTCTCATCCTCCCCAAGTGCTGGGATTATAGGCATATAAGCATGCCTATCTCTTACTTGTTTAATATCTTTTTATTCAAAGTACCACATAAATGCAGAGAGGGTCACTGCAAGTTGGAAGCCAGCCTGTACTACTAGCAAGACCATTGCTTTAAAAAAAAGAGCCACTGAGTGTGGTGACGCACTTGCACTCCAGTAATCCCAGCACTCAGGAGGCTGAGGCAGGAGGATCATTGCAAATTCAAGACCAGTCTGGGCTACAAAGTGAGCTCAAGGCCTGCCTGAGCTGAATAGCGAGACCCTGCCTCAAAAAGAAGATAAATAAATAAATACATAGGATGTACATAGGTCATAATGTCAGTAATTTTCTTTTCCTTTTGTGGTACTGTGGTTTGAACTCAGGACCTTGTGCTTGCCAGGCAAGTACTTATGCCACTGACCTATATCCCCAATCCCTGTCAATAAATTTTTAAGAAGTGCATACACCCATGTAACTACCTCCAAGATCAATAAATAAAATATTTCCAGTTCCCCTAAAGCTCTTCAGCATGATAACCGTTCTCTTTTATTTCTAGGTTTTGCCAGTGTTGACTTTGCAATTCATTTGCGTTGCTGTGGAGCTGCATTTATTTATTCTCCTTGTTAGGCAGAGTTTTGTGGTAGAAACAAACCATGATCTAATTGTTCATTCTACTGGTAGTAGACATTGCATCCTTACTAGTTATGACTGTTATGATTGCTTCTTTTTTTTTTTTTTTTTTTTTTTTTTTT